TCTTTCAACAAAAGCTTTTTGGCGAATCCGGCAGTCTCCCTCATGTTGTGGAAGCTGTCCTCAGTAAAATGCGCAGCACACAATAGCAAATTGGGGTTATAATGCTCAGGAACAGAGTTAAAAAGTAAATTGCAACCACTGTTTCCTGACATCATCCGCTTTCGGAAGCCCAAACAAAGACGTTTGGGCACGGAGGTGAAAAAAAACAGCGTTTCAGGCAGTCGCGCACCGGACGAGAAGCGCAGCGTCGCGCCATGTCTTTAAAAATTCATATACATTATTTTCTATGAGTGTAGCACACCGGCGGCGTCTGTCCGTGGCGCCCAGCTACGTCGTGTTATACTTGTAAGAATGGTTCTAGACATGCTGAAAATTTGACGCTACAGCACAGCAGCTCTTCTTCTTGGTTTTCTCTGATGCACTAACTCTGCAGCAACACTTCTTCTACATCGTCTCGTCTCATGCGCTCACTCAACCAAGCGTTCTAACCACAACCTCGCCCCTCCCCACCCCCCAACCATTCCAATCTCTGTAGGCGGGAATTATTTGTAATGATATTCCAATGAGCCGCTTTGTGATATCACAAAGCCCGGAAACCAAACGCTGTAGTCCAAACGAGCCGTTTGCTGTAGTTCTTGAAAAGGGATTTTTAAAAAACGAAATATCTCCCTTTGGAGTGGACTTTGAGATTTGTAACTTTCTAGATCTTTTTTATGCCCAAACATACACACTACACACTGACTAAACTTACAAAAGTGAAAAAGCATAGTAGGACCCCTTTAAAAGTAGACACTTTACTTACATTTAATGTGCTTTCTCTGGACATAAAATCACTTTTGTAAATTTATTTTGATGCGGACATCTTAACATCTTTGACCCACATGCAATATACTGTATGCGGTCAGTAAAGGTCGGGGTAGGTTGGTAATGGTTTACAAGTTAAGTAGGATTGTCGACTGATGAATTGTCAAGTGTGTGTTAATGAGGAGATTGATGACTTGTGGGTAAAAATTATGTTCAATTTATGTTTGATTATGAAATGATTATGTTCATTCTATGTTGAACAAGTGTTGGTCTGTCTGTTATAAATAGTTTTCATATATCCACAGTGAAGAAAGTGACTGCCACAAGTGCACCTCAGGATGCAGGTCAGCGGTTATCTGTGCGCTCTCATCGCCTGTAGTGGATTAACCCTGTCTGTGTCGACCGGAAACCAAACAGGACTGGAGTCTGGAAACACCGCGCCGCCGCTCCTCCTGGTGTCGTTTGATGGCTTTCGTGCAGACTACCTAAACAAATACTCTTTTCCCAATCTCGAGAAGTTCTTCTCCGATGGCGTCCTTGTGCGCGAGCTGACCAATGTGTTCACGACGAAAACCTTTCCCAATCATTACAGTCTCGTCACAGGCCTGTACGCAGAGAGCCACGGGATACTTGCCAGTGTTATGTACGACCCGGTGTCGAAAAAGAATTTCTCTATTCAAAATGACAGTGACCCTTTCTGGTGGAACGAAGCCACTCCGATTTGGGTGTCCGTGGAGGAGTCTGGATATAAGGCAGCGGCTGCTATGTGGCCAGGAACGGATGTCAATATTCAAAACCACACGTTAAAATACAAATTCGAGTACAACCCCAAGGTGACTTTCCAAGAAAGGCTGGGAAACCTCACACAGTGGATGACCACGGACAAATCTGTGAAGTTTGCCGCTCTGTATTGGGAAGAGCCCGACCGGAGCGGACACATGTACGGCCCGGAGAACACCACAGAGATGAGCAGGGTTTTAAAGGAAGTGGATGGTCATATAGGCTTCCTGATGGAGCAGCTCAACAAAACGGGATTATGGGGGAAAATAAACGTCATCATCACTAGTGATCACGGCATGGCCCAGTGTTCTCAAGAGCGTCTCATTAAACTGGATGACTGCATCACTCCGAGCAGCTATAGGGTGGTGGATCTCACTCCTGTGGCTGCCATAATCCCACTGGAAGGTAAGTATTTATTATTTATACTTCATGTAATTCAGTTTGTAAATTAAAAAAAGTTTGTTTCCCACAGCAAACTGTGATTTTGTATTTTATGTATTTATTTATTTTTTCCCCCTGCTGTCCAGATTACTGTTCAGGTTCCTATAATCCTATACATTTTTGTAAAATTATATATTAAAAAAGGGATTTTATATATATATATATAATATTGATATACATATATAATATATAACTTTGTGTATCTATGTGTGTGTATA